ATCTTAAATATATATTTTTGCTTATCTACAAAGGTTTGAAGATCAGGAAAAGAAGCTAGCAAAAGAGAAGTGATTATTTGATGGATGTGCTAAAGGAATTGCTATACATAGTTTGGCTATCCATGTTTACATTTCATACATTTTGTACAAGTGTACACTTAATTTGTATTGTACAGCTATTATTTATTTGGAATGAGTCTCAAATATATATTTCGTTTATTTACAAAGATTTGAAGATCATGAAATAAGCTATAAAAGGAGAAGTGATTATTTGATGGATGTGCTAAAGGAATTGCTATACAGAGTTTGGCTATCCATGTTTACATTACATACATTTTGTACACATGTACACCTATTTTTTATTTGGAATGGGTCTCAAATATATATTTTCGTTTATCTACGAAGGTTTGAAGATCATGGAAAGAAGCTATCAAAGAAGAAGTGATTATTTGATGGATGTACTAAAGGTATTGCTATACAGAGCTTGACTATCCATGTTTACATTACATACATTTTGTACACGTGTACACCTAATTTGTATTGTACACTTATTTTTTATTTGGAATGAATCTTAAATATATATTTTTGCTTATCTACAAAGGTTTGAAGATCAGGAAAAGAAGCTAGCAAAAGAGAAGTGATTATTTGATGGATGTGATAAAGGTATTGCCATACAGAGCTTGACTATCCATGTTTACATTACATACATTTTGTACATGTGTACACCTAATATGTATTGTACTCCTATTTTTTTATTTGGAATGGATCTCGAAATATATATCCATATCATCATGTACATTAAAAAGTGTTGAAATCTTAGAGTATCCATGTGGACACTACAAAAAGTGTACAAGAACTAATGTATCTATATAGACATTCATATTCATCAAGAACTAATGTATCCATATCATTATGTACATTAAAAAGTGTCGAAATCTTAGAGTATTTATGTGGACACTACAAAAAGTATACAAGAACTAATATATCTATATGGACATTCATATTCATCAAGAACTAATGTATCCATATCATCATGTACATTAAAAAGTGTCGAAATCTTAGAGTATCCATGTGGACACTACAAAAGGTGTACAAGAACTAATGTATCTATATGAGCATTAATATTCATCAAGAACTAATGTACCATATCATCATGTACATTAAAAAGTGGCGAAATCTTAGGGTATCCATGTGGACACTACAAAAAGTGTACAAGAACTAATGTATCTATATGGACATTCATATTCATCAAGAACTAATGTATCCATATCATCATGTACATTAAAAAGTGTCGAAATTTTAGGGTGTCCATGTGGACACTACAAAAAATGTACAAGAACTAATGTATCTCTATGGAAATTCATATTCATCAAGAATTAATTTATCCATATCATCATGTACATTAAAAGGTGTCGGAATTTTAGAGTATCCATGTGGACACTACAAAGAGTGTACAAGAACTAATGTATCTGGACATTCATATTCATCATCTTACTGTACACTGACTGTTGTCTATATAATTTTATTACGAGCCACCAATTCATGTTACTGGATATTTAAGAATATCTTTATGGGAACTAAAAATAATCAAGAATTCTAAGTTATTATTCATGTGCACCCCTACAAATTAGTCCATCATTTTAGATATCAACGTGGACATTGTAAAAGGTCAGGAACTAAAATGTGTATATGGATATTTATATCCATATTGTATACATAGTCTAATGTTATATCATTAAGACCCTTTTTATCGAAACCACTCGAGGAAAACAAGAGAATCTGCTCAAGCGCCGTAAATGTCACTAGAACACCATCTCATTTGCTTATAACGAACAAAAAACACTAACTCCTTAACTACAAACAAGAACACATCAAAGTGCAAATCACATCGTCAACGAATGAAAAGAATTAAAAAAAAAAAACAGCTTAGAAGGAGCAGATGTGGCCGTACATGGAATTAAAGAATTAAAAAAACACTAACTCCTTAACTATGTACATGTGGATTTTGGAATACATGTGTACATATAAATATTTCTAAACCGTGTACATGTGGACACTAAAACATATATGTACATGTGTACACTAAAACATATGTGTACATGTGTACACTTTTAGATTTTGTGAACAATGTACACATATACATGTTTACAGGAGAAGCTTTCCAAGCCATGTTCCTCTCTTTTTCTCATTATGTTCCATTAATTAAGTTACTATTTGTTGGATAATGGCATCTCTTGATGTAGACCAAACTTAATTAGTAAGAGTAGCAAAAATAAAATCAGTTATCTTCGTTATCGAGAAGTTACAAACGGTAACCTTGAGAATTTTATGACTATAGCCAAAGATATCATGGGAAACTACTTCCATTTTATGCTATGAGAAACCTTCAACGTAAGCTGATGTGTTTTTAGATTTTACAAGGAAAATAATATCTTGTTTCAATATGACGCACACCATTTCCCAACATAAGCTTGGCTGCTTGGCTTCTATTCGATATAAGCTTGGTTAGTCTCAGATACAAATGATATGATTACTTTCGATGAAACACTCAACCTGAGACTACATTGGACCAGACTACAAAACAATACACACCAACAAATCAACAATTTACTATTAGACAACATTTCAATAGGACTTCTGAAGAATCGAACATATAGACTCATATATTATAAACTAGAAGTCATTCTGCCCTTCAAAGCAAAATGCAATCAGAGAGCTCAGGTCTTGCTAGACAAGTTTCTGCTTTCAATCACACATCACACATCAAATCCCAATTTTTTTTTCATTAGAAACTGGAAAAAGATCAATAAAAATTGTAATTCTATTAATTTTATCAAAAAAATATGATTAGAAGATATATAGAGATCGTGTAAGGGAAGAAGAGAAACCTGCTTGAATGAGATGGGAAAATCCATTTAAAGAGATCTCATGGACAGTTACATCTTAACAACTAAAATATCTATATTTTAATGTTTGTTCCTTACCAAGCTACGAACGACCATGATGGGGTTGCTCCATGATTATAGAGATCTAGAAAGTACAAGGTTACGGTGGCGTCGGTATGAGAAACCATGCTCCTGTCAGAGTTATATCTTTTGATTTAGAGGTGCTTCGGCCGTTGGAGATCTCGTCTTGCTCAATGATCTTGGGAATACTCACGATTAAAGATATAGTGGTTTTCTTCTTCGCAAAAATGGACCTTAAACATAGGCATGAGGCGAATTAAGAGGCGTTGCTGAAATTATGCCCATAAATTGATAGTGGATACGCTGGGAAGTTTGTCGGCCGGCCAAAAAAAAATTACAGTCACTGTTTCTGATTTGTTGTTGACCGATAAAAAGAAAAATGACTTAACTAAGAGTAAAATGGGATTATCAAATTGTGTACAGTAGTAAAACTACTTTAATAGTAAGAAGTGTCTTATTTTGTTATAAAAAATTAAAAATTGTCCTATGGTGTAAATGACTCTTCTTTTGATTCTGTCTAACGTTGACGTTGACTCCTTTGGATAATTTAACAGACTCTTCGTCCATTTAGTCTTACTCAAGCACAGCTAATGTTGCACAGCGAGAAAAAGTTAGATGTGATAAACAACTCGATGTACTCATAAAAGTGAGTCATTTTATCCCTGTATATTATTTTTCTCTTGCCAAATCATAAACCTTTAGTTGTTTAAGGAACTGATTATACCTTCAAAAGGATACATGGAAAGTATTCCGAGGAACTAGGAAGAGACTCTTGCATGTATATGAAAGGTCTAATCATAGCAAAGTAAAGCAAGAAAGAATAGCTGTTAATAATTATGTTAAAAAAAAAAAGAGCTGTTTGCTGTGCTGCATAGCAAATGTCAGTTGCTTTGGAGTTTTTTATTTAATCATTAGAACTGTATAAAAAGAATAATGCTTCTTGACTAATTAATGGAATAGTTGAACAAGAAGGGGATATCAATCTTAAGGTGGCAAGTTTGCTAGGAAATTCTATTCAAAGAACACTTGACTACTCATTCGTGAGGAATTACCAGTCCACAGACTAGAGCAGAGGAGTATAGTTTACTCATGCTACCCCGAAATAATAATTTTATGTATGAATTGTTATGCTTGACAAGCTCTCTACTGGTGAACATATGCTGAAACGGAGCGGAAATATCAAGCCCTCTTCTTGCATACAATGTTAACACAATCTGGAGACAAGAAGCCACCTCTTCTTCTCTTGTTATTTCTCAGGCCAGGTTTGGGGGTATATACTGAGGAATGAGACAATACTGTCTCTAATACTAGACACTTCTCAAGATCGGATCTGGCGGCTATTCCTTTTGAGATACACATTACAAACTGCTATGCATGGTTTATATATATATATGAAACTTATTTATTATCTCGGTTTTAGATTAGAATTTTTAATCAGATTTAATCCTGAGATTATTGGCTAAGATCGGTTAAACGGGACTAAACCAAAATCTCAAAAAATATCTTTTGGAGTAAAAAGTTCAAATATACATCTATATCATATTGTGCTAAATTTTAATATCAATGTTTAAAGATAGGTAATGATTTTTATCTTCTCGATATCATTTTATCCTCTCCTCGTTTGTATGGATGTGGATACAAGTTTTGAGATAAAAATCTGGTTTAAATCCACCTGGCCTTCAATAAACATGTCAAGTCTTATTAAACTGATAGTGTTAAAGTTTTTAACTTTTACACCCAATAAAATAGCAAAAATTACGTGTGGTGTATTAGTATCTTATGTGCTTGTGTGTATATATAACCTATAAACACATATCTTATCTCACCAGTCACCATCTTCCTCCTCTTCTTTCCCTCTCTTAAGGTCTATCTCTCTCTATAACACTAGTTATCTTTTTTCTTTACGCGTACTTAGGGTTTTGGGTACACAAGAGATTAATTCCATGATTCAGTTTCTAGGTTTATTGATTGCTTTCCCTAATTTGATTTGATCAGGACGAAGAAGAAATCGGAAAAAGCAAAGGTTCGAGGGAGATGGCGACGGATAACAAAAGAGCCAACGATATCGTATTTTCTCAGGAACGAGAGGTAATTAAAATCAAATCAATTGACAATGTTATTTTGATTGATTTTTTGAGATTTTTTATCTAGTTTCATAATTTTTATGACAAGCATTGTTGAAATGTTGATTTATCATTTAGGTATTAGAATATCACTGTTAATTTGACGTAGGAGCATCAAAAATATTCGCTTTTGAACCAGTCTTAGCAATTCTTAAGGTATTATCATAATCTGGGTAGGAATTTAAAAGAATTGTGAAAAGTTTATTTTGTAATTTTTAAGAAAAGGTTTGACTACTATTGTATTGTTATGAATTACAGTAGGTAAGTAATAATTTCTAGTTAAGGTCGCATTAGTAGTCACCGAGTCAAATATATATTTTTCTTTAGTTGACAAACCCCAATCGTCGCGCGCTATCGAACGACGGCATACACGTTACTTTTCATCTACGTGTATCATTCAAATCATTATTCTATGTAGTCAAAATTCAGTATTTTTTTGTGACTGTGGATATCCGGTAGCTCGCAAGGGAAGTTAGAGATGTTTGTTGCCTGAACACAAAGATGGGTAGTCTAGGATAAAGGTTGCGAGCCCTCGACCCTTATGATTTTTACGAGCCACCTTAACCACCTGCCACACCTTGTGGTTAAAATTCTGTATTTGATATGCAGAAAGTCTTTAAACTGGACACTTTGCAACTCATTATCAAATGATTCAGAAACTGGAACAGTTATTTATTTTTTGGTCTGAATGAACTGGAACATATTTTCCCTAGGAACACAACATTATTCGTTCTTAAAAACTTAGATTGGGAGTTAATTATATGGTCGGCCGTAAATGATAGACTCATCTTCATGTGAAACCCTTTGTGAAACTCAACGCTTTCTTGAATTGTATGTTTAGGTTTTAACGATATATATACTGTCTGTTTTTTTTCAAAATGATTTTATGTCTTATTGTGATCGTCACAGTGAACTTCTTTGGATGCTTGACAATCAGTTTACTACGTTAAACTCTTTTTAACCTGTCGTTATATATATATATATATATCTAAACTTCACTATAGAAATTGTTCTGTTGGTCGAAAACGAAAAAACAAGGCAGAGAGAGAAATTGCTCTTTTGGTGTAGGATTTGTCAGCACTATGATCACTATGTTTCTGAGTCTCTCATTATTTAAAATGTGACAAGAGAAAAATATATAGTTTTTAATACGTAACTGATTAAATTCATTTTTGTTTTGCCCTTAGTCTACCTCTGGTGTAAACAAATACGGAGGACTTGTGCCAAAGAAAAAGCCTCTCATTTCGCAGGTGAATTATCTCTAAGTAACCCACGTATTTCATATATTTGTATGATCTGATTTGTTAATTTACTAACGATATCAAACCGATGCATGCAGCCCAAACGTGCTTTCTTTGATTCAGCGGACTGGGCTTTACACAAGGTACACTCGTTTATGCAATCTAGCCAACTTTAGATCTTTGATATTTCAATCTAAAAGTAGTTCAATTTTCTTATGTTAAATATTATTCCACAGCAACAAGCAAGTGCAAATGAGAGAACAATAGAGGCGATAGTAAACTTAAGACCCAAACTATTGGTAACCTTTTTCTTTTTTTTTTTTGACACTATTGGTAACCTTTTATATCTACTTATTTATGCCTTTAGCAATTGTAGTTAATTAGTACTACTTCGCGTTCTTATAATTTGACTTGATATTTTCAGAGAACGCCTCACAAGCAACTTCCCCCAAGGGGACCTACCTTTGCAACTGGACAAGAGAATCTGGTAAGAAAATGATTATCCGTATGAAAAAATAAGGTGTTATTTCATATTATGCAAATGCCATTTATATTTAACAGAGAACTAAAAAGTCGTTTTAATTTGCAGATATATTCGACCTTTTAAGGCAACAACGAAAAGGGTTTGTGGAAATTGAACATGGTTGGTGTGGTATTATGAGCCTACTCGCGTATTTCATGTTTCCATAAAATAAAACTTTTTTCAGTTAAATCTGTTTATGAGGTAAAGTTGCTTGCCGTTTCATTAAATGGTACAGACAAATATTGCTGCTTCTCTCTTTTTCTTTTTCTCCAATATATAAACCTTGTTTCGGGGTATTTTAGTTTTCTTGAAACCAAAAGAATTATAAATCAAATTTTGAACTTTTGAGTTTAGCTAAAGACAAATGATTGCAGATGATCTTTTACTCAGGTGACAAAGTCCACTCTACTGGTACTTTAGGCAGCATAGAATTTCGAACCATTTCCTAATTCCTAGTATGAGATTAAAATATGGACTCCAAAAAGAGATAAATGTTTAAGCGTTTGAAAAGTGTATTTGTGAACAACTTTTAGACATATTGAAAGAAAGACACTATTTTGCTACATTGTATAAAAGTGGTCTATTTGGTTTCCAAAGAAATTTAATGATAGAAAATAGAACTTCGCTATCCACAGTAATACTTGATTTTATAAAGTTTAGTTTTCTTTAAATCAGAGGTGGTTCTGAATGGGGGACCACCAAATCAGTAATGAACACATTGTCAACCATTGGGACGGTCTCAAAACTTGGAAAATTCCCATCTTTGAGATACGTAAAAGTATTTTCCTGAGATTGTTTTCTAAATAGAAACGAAACAGCGAAAATATATGGTGGTCGATATACAAGTTACGTTACGTTACGATATAATTTTTACTGTCGAATCGATTGCCTTTGATGTGGTCTAAGAAGGTGAGCCTAGTGGTGAGATATGCTGATAAAAATGTTATTGATGTGGAGATTACGTTGGCTGGTTCTTGCTTCTTTGTCTTTTGTATATGGAGAGCCGGGGCATCGTGGTAATGAGAAGATCTGGGAACGGCTCATGTGTCTGGGCATCTTCAGAAGGGAGTGCTGGGGTTGGGTTGGATATTTCAACGCAATTATTCATAATGGAATTATTCATAATGGAATGTACAAGAAATCTAAGGTAGTATACTGTTATATTTGCAACAGATTGTTATCCGTTGGTGAAAGATATTTTTGAAATCAGAGAATGGTCTACCGTTGCAAATTATTTAGAAAACATAAAAGTCTTGAAGAAAAGTTTCAATAGTTTAGAACTCATTTATATATCACAGACGCGGAACCTAAGGACATATAGTCTCGCACGTAGTATAAAAAAACAAATGTTGTTTGTTATTCATAAATATGAGAAACTATCAATTTGGTTTACAGTTTATATGAGTCTGTTTAAACTAGTGACATAAAAAAATTATGGAAATGTTGGATAACGGTAATTATGACAGTCTAGGAGAGATGTAGTCTAGATATAACTTTGTTTTGAATAAAATGGTTTATTTTTATTTTATGAAAGTAGAATGTATATCGGTTTTGCAATAAAAATAATAATATTTTGATTTTAAATCTAAACCTATGTTTTTTTTATGTATGATTAGACATTCTTAAACTATATTATAAAACGTTTGAAATTAAATATGGCTACATTAATGCAACTAAATTCTTACGTGAAAAAACATAATTATAATAAAATCAATTAGATAATGATTGGATTTTGTGGGCAAATGATGGTAGGGTTTAAACTTTTGGTTATGAATAAAATATTTCTTATAGTGATAACTTCTAGGATTTAAAATTATAGAATTATATGATGTTATATATGGAACTAATGGTAAATTGTAAGATTCATAAGTTATTTTAATTAAGATTTCAACAAACTCAAGTACGCTTGTAGTAGTTTTTGTTTAGAAACCCTAGTGTTATTTTTAAGGAACAAAGTAAACTACGTTGGCAAAAATAAATATTTAAGTTCTAGTTGTACTGTAACTGCTTTTCAAGAGATAAATAAACTAAATATATATTTCAACAACATTAGTCGTTTACAACTTACAGATGATATTTCAAAAATATAAAAATACTATGAAAAAGCCATGTAATTTTTATTTTAAAGTTAAACACATTAATAAGAACTATTATATTTTGTGACAAATGTTTTTTGTAACACTGAATACTTCATTGATAAAAATACAAAGCGGATAACTGTTGAGACCAAAAACCATTACAAGACTGCCGAACAATAACAGGGAAAACAACACCCAAACAAACACTGAAAAACACGGGAAAGGGCCGCTAGCTAATTCCAGCATATCGATCAAGCTCTCGCTGGAGCCAAAAGGGACCATTTTTGGCTGTGTAGGACTGATATTGGTTACCTTCTGTTACACTTCTTGCAACAGGAAGGTTACGTGAGGGAGACGTATAGTCTAAGCTCCACAGACTAAAGTATTCCAGCCTATGCACAATTGCTTGCACCAGAGACTAAACCTCAAGAAACCTTTCTGGATGTAAAAGAGACTCTCTTACCTCCATCGAAGAAGACTCAAAGATTACATCATCATATCTCATATAACCAATCGAATCAATCGCCCACCAAAGACCCATAAACATTCTCCAGCGGTGACGAAACCCTAGAGTCAGATATTCTACTTGAGCAAGATAAAGACCTTGATGGTTTCGTAGGATCCACGACACACCCGAGTTTTGGTAACCATTAACCCAGGAAGTACCAATGTTGCATTTCAGAACGTTTAGTAGGGGGTTCCGTATACTTCAAAATCTGGGGGCCTGTCTGTGTTACTCAAAAGAGCGACGTGTGACAAATGTTTTTAATTAAATGTATTTTTCGAGCTCTGATAACTTGTAAGAGTTATAGAACTCAATATGAACAATTGACCATTTTTAATATTCAGAAAAAAAAAAAACAATTGACCATTTTAATAAAGAAACTAATATTGTTATTGTTAGTACTAGTTTCTTTTTTTGTGATAAAATTTAATCATCATTGAAAATGAAGTTTAGGTATTGCAAATAGTTTGACCTATGGATTTGGTATATCTCTATAATATTATTTGAGAAGTCACTTTCTTAGGTGTCACGCTCATGTTAATTCTCACGGTGGTTGATTACTATGATACCCCTAATGAATTAAAAATCTATTTAAATATTATTATTTCCTTTTTAAAATCTTCCAAATAACAATTTAAAATAAAAAGGAAATATTTATAAAATTTACAAAACTATTTAAAACGAAAATAAGTATACATATAATATGGTTTCATAAAAAAGGAAAGATTACAAAATAGTAATATTTAACATAAATATAATTTTAAATAACATAAATTATACTTTTAAGTAATAAAATACTTTATATCTATATCTTCTTAGATGAAAAAAATATTTGTATATAATGTGTTTTCATTAAAAAGTTCATACAAATAATCTTAATATTAGAAAAGAAATATTTTTCTTTAAAAATAATTTAAACAATAAAATATATATTTTCAAATTAATTATTTTTTGATATATCTATCTATTTTATTAGATTATTACATAAAATAATTAAGTAACATAAACTAATATATGCCTAATTGACAAAAAAATTATAATTAGTATTATTGAAATATTTTTAGTATATTTATTTGATTATAATATCTTACAATTACAGCAAAAAATATAAATTATATTTTACTTATATAATATAGTTTCTCAAAAAATCACATTTTTACTGCATATTTTAATAGATGTTAAAAACAAAACTAAAAATAAATTTAATAATAAACATCTTTTGATCAAATAACTACAATTCTTTTAATATATCATAACACTATAATTTAACAAGGTAGATATATTATAATTATTAGTTAAAATTATCTGTTTTCTTAATAACTCTTTTGATGTTTAATTTTATGTTTTTATGTTTGTGGAATTTAATATAAGCATAATCTAATACTTAAAGCAAATCAGAATTCCTTATTTTTAAAATTATTTAAAAAAAATTTCAGTTTATCATCCAATCAATCTATGGCATAAATTATTTAGAGTTTATAAAATATTTTAATTATTGTAAATATTGATATGTGTTCATAAGCTTTCAAAAATTTATTATTACTTATGTAATTTAGAATCAGACACTTTAATTTTTATTTTTTTTCGTTCTAAGCACAAAAAATCTTAAAATACATAATCTTACTAAGATATACTTATATTTCGTAGATAACAACCAACATAAATGTAAATAAAATATTTAATCAAAAATTTAAGATATTTAGAATAAAAAAGATTATAGTTGAATTCATAGAATAGAAAGTATCCA